TGCGCGGGCCGGGGGCTGCGGGGGATGCAGCTCCCCAGCGCCCATCACCGTCGTGTCGCGCCTCCCCTCCCCCCGCCGGTTATTCCACCCCTTTAATTCCACGTGTCTCGTTACTGGAGGGGGCAGCTCCCCCACACACATACACACTTCCCGGCTCGTCCCGGCGCTTGTTCGTGCTCTCAACGCCCACCAATCCATCAGGGCAAAACACCACTTCTAACTACTTCCCTTCTTAACTAATAAATATGCAATTAACATGAAATTCACATGCAATTATTCCCAAATTATTTCCCTGCAATTTCTTGCTACTACTGGAAGCCATGGCAGCGTGAGGAGGGGTTCTGCAGCCTTCTGGCCTTGAAGATGATGCGGCCGGGAGCTTCCCTGAGTCTTTATTTATTTATTTATTTATTTATTTATTCATTGCTCTTGCTCTGTGTTTCCCCAGAAAGCACCTCCAGGAAATCCCGTCCTCCAGCAGCAATGTTTGCACCAGCTTCACGTGGGACTGGGACTCCAGCAAGACGTCGGAGCTGCTCTCGGGCATGGGGGTGTCCATGCTCAAGAAGGACAAGCTGGGCAACGAGAACACACCACAGGAGCTGCTGCTCTCGCCCTGCCCTCCGCACAAGCGCCAGAAGGTCAAGGAGAAGGAGAGAGACTTTGTGATCGTGCGCCGGCCCCGGCTGCTTCGCGAGGCAGAGCCAGGTAGGGCCGTGCTGGCCACGTTGCTTTTGGCCTGCAAGAATCAGGGATGATTCCTCGGGGAGAGCGGTCATTGTGCATGTTCTGAGGAGCATTTTGTGTTCCCCAGTTCTGAACTGTGTGAAATCTCACCTTGGGCTGTCTTCTGGGCGCCTTGTGTGTGGATAGGATGGGCACTTTAGGGGAAGACACCAGAAGCGCCAAACTTCTGAAGCTGCCTTTTTGACTTGCCTTTCCCTCCTGCATGCAGGAGTCTACAAGCCTTAGAGGGAATTACAGCGGAAGCAACTGAGGTGCTCTTGCTTCCCAAAGTAGTATGTGAATGAAGACTGTAGCTGTTTTCCAGAAAAAAGATATTTTTCCATAGCTTCAGGATATATATATGCACCAAGTTGATGCTATGGAAGTTCTGCTTTTACCTGTTATACCTACGCAAAAATGGTCATAATGTCTTACTATATAATGAAAACATGAAAGGGGACTGAGCAGTGCTTGGGTGTATGCATAGCCTAGGGACTATATAGCAGTGCTTACTGAGCATATAATCACAAAGCCAAAAAGGCATCTGATCAGCAGGCCAAAATGAGCCTGCTCTAACTAGAACATGCTCTTTCTTTCCTTCAAGGTGTTTCTTGGGATGCGCTTCCAGATGAGTTGCTATTGGCAATCTTTGCATATTTGCCCCTAAATGACCTGCTAAAAGTTTCCCTGATTTGCAAGAGATGGCGTCGTCTCTCGTAAGTATTGCTTGGTGCTAAGGAAAGCTTTGCTTGCAGAGATTAAGTGGTCTGGTTCTTCACTTGTGCTTTCATGTGTAATTCAGTTGATACTGCATGTGGCTTATATGTATGTATGACTCAAATATTCTAGCATTAATACATTTTCTTGAATGGGTTTAATGTGCTTTCCCTCAGTCTTTGTGTCACTGAAGGCTTTCTGTTGTGCTTATAGTTCTGCCTCAGTTGTTTTCACTAACCTGTACAATTCTGTGCCATAGGTTTGATGAATCTCTCTGGCAGACTCTGGATCTGACTGGCAGGAATCTGCTGCCAGGAGTCATCGGTCACTTGCTGCCTGCGGGTGTTACTGTTTTCCGCTGCCCGAGATCCTGTATTGGGAATCCACTGTTTAAAACCAGCAAGTAAGGTTTTCTCTGTGTTCTGGATCCTGAAATCATTAATCTCATGTAGTCTTCACTGCTTTCTGTGTGTTTTTGGTTAAAACCAAGTGATAGTATTTGTGATGTCTCTAGCGTGGCAGAGCCGATCCCTATTTAGGCATGTGTTGAAATAAGAGGATTTGTGTTCATCAGTCAGTTATTTAAAAGCAAGCTAATGTCATTTTTGAAAGCATAATGTGAGCAACATCACCCACTTGAAATTTATTTCTGTGTTTTAGAAGCAAGAATTGTCAGACACTTTTATAGGTGATGTTTAAAGAAATGGTTTAAATCCAGCAGGATAGACTTGCATCTCTTGTGATGAATCTTACATTTATTCACGTTGAAGTTAAGAGTCCAGCAGGTTTGGTTAGTAGCCTAGTAGTAGATCCAGTGGTCTTGGCTTAACTAGGAATATTCATTTAAGGTACAACTGCACATTTTTTTTTCTGCACATGTTTCTCTTAGTAGATATATTTATATTGTTTGGAATTTGGGGGTTGGTTTTTAATTTATTTTTAGTAATCCACCTTTCTCCTTTTTAGACCACTCAGAATTCAACATATGGATTTGTCAAACTGCACAGTGACTATTGCAGATCTGCAGAGTATCCTCTGTCGATGTGAGAGGCTGCAGAACCTGAGCCTGGAAGGGCTAGTTCTTTCTGATGACATCATCAAGTGAGTGGCATGTCACTCAATAAATGCTCAATAAATACTTTGTTTGGTGCGACTATTTTGTGCAGGCTGTGTGAAATTACGCAGTTGTGCACTGTGGGAGTCTTTTACCATGCCTGTATTTTGGCAAGTAACAGAATTAGCTGTTTCTAACTTTTATTTTCCCATTTCTGCACTCCCAGAGTGTATGTGTCCCTTTCTATTTGAAGAGGTCCCAGCAACTGTTCCACTTACACAGACATGACTTGAGAATTGGGGTGATTACTCGGTCTTTTTTAGAGGTACAGTTACTTCTGATAAGGCATGGGGTTTGCTCATTGGCTTACAACAGCAGAAGGTGAAAAGAAATTATGTTTCGTTTTACACTTAGTGGTTTATAAATATGGAAACTTATCAGAGTCATCAGTTCAAGGGGCAGATATTCCTTTCCAAGCTGTGCTGTGACCCGAAATCCTTACTGACTCTAAGGTTGATCAGCTTAATAAGGATAATGTCGCATGTTTAGCAAATAATTCCGAGCCTGGAATCTTAGCTCTTAACATTTGAGCAATGCAAGTGATGTCCCAACACTTACATTTCACCTGACTTTGTTTTTTTCTTCCCTACAGGAGCATTGCTCAGAATCCCAGTCTGATACGACTAAATCTCTGTGGGTGCTCAGGGTTCTCTGCAGAAGCCCTGGAGTTGATGTTGAGCAGCTGTACTGAGTAAGACAAAACAGGTTTTGCTATTTCTGCTTACTGCTGTTCCTGAGAGAAATTATCTCTATTCTTTTTTCTTTTTTCTTTTTTTTCTTTTTTTTGTTTTTTTTTGTTTTTTTTTGTTGCTTGGGCTCCCCTGTTGTGCTTGTCTCTTAGTATCTCTCTTTGGAACCTGTCTGTATTCCCAAACATTTTGTTTTCACCAAGCTACTTTCTTCTTTAACAGCAAAAAGAAAGTCCTGTTGGCAGATAAAAGGCACCTTTGATTATGTTCCAAATTCGATTTTTCCTAATGAAAGCAATATGTCATCCTTGCAAAGTGTGTGTGTGTTTTGCAGCTCTAAAGTGGAGGCAGAGGTCTCCCTTTATATGCAGAGTATGATGTGGATGACAGAAAACATCGTGTCATTCCATCCATGTTAAAATAATCCTTCAAAAACCTACAGTGACCTTCTACTTTATGAAGTGCAGTGTTCAGATTGACAGCTGCAGTGATTAAAACGTCTGCTGTCAGGAAGTCATTGAATTGAGCCCTAACAGATCTGGGATTTATATTTTGGCCTTTCTGCTGACTTCCTGGGGGTTGCTAGACAAACTACTTAATCAATGCTTCTGCAAAAACATGTTTTTAATCAAACTGCTGCAAGTTTGTGGGGAGACAAAGCCTTAATCTCTCCCTGACTCACCTCACGGGCAGATAATTCTTTCTATTGCTTGGTCTGATTACTCAGACTCATAAGCTCTCTAGGGAATGGATGTCTCTGTACAGTGCATAACACTCAGAAAAACTGAGCTGGGCTAGCAATGCTGGTGGCAATGTAGGCCCATTTCATTGCCAACAGAACAGAAACTGTGCAGTGTGTGTATGCATTGGCTTCAGCACTGTGTGTCCTCCTGGGATATTCTGTGCTTTAATCACCTCAGTGATTTAATAATTTGTTTGTGTGTGTGTTTATTGAGTCTAGAGATTGCCAGCTAGAGGCTCTGCTTGTGTTGTCTGCTGTGTCTGTGTCCTCTGGTTACATCAACAGTGCCTGCGTGTGCAAAAACCCATGCACAAAAAATAAAACTTTGTTCCTGTTCCTGAATAGTGATAATCTATAGGTATGAAGCATATTAAGAGACTTAGGATCACCACATGGCCAGTGCTTACATAAAACTGTATAATATGTCACCTGCCACACACTAAGCATGGCTAGCCAGTGGTCATCTTCCCCCTTTTTAATTTTTTCTCTAAATGTGAATGCTTATTCAGTAGTAGCAGAGTCAAGTCACCAACCAGAAACATGATTAAAGATAGTATCTCCCTTCTGGCAATCTCCTGAGATAACTATTTCACATCCTAAAATCTCATGGAATCATCCAGGTTGGAAAGGGGCCTTGGGAGGCCACTTCCACCCACTGCTCAAAGCAAGTTCTGAATTCAGCACCAACCAGGTTGCTTTCTCTGATCAGGTCGTGAAACTCTCCAAGGACAGAGATTCCACAGCCTTTATGTGCAACCTGCTCCAAAGCCTAATTATTCTAAGAGTGAAATATGTACTTATTAATAGCAGCTTGGTAGTAGCTACATTACAGTTTGAGTTCTGATATTTATCTAATTCAATGATACTTTTAATGCAAAAACTTCTATTTCCATTCGTGCTTCCCTCTGTTAATTTTTGTATAAATTGAAGGAGCTCGTGCTTCCCTCTGTTAATTTTTGTATAAATTGAAGGAGCTGAACTTGTCCTGGTGCAACTTCACAGCTGCCTACGTCAAAGCAGCAGTCACTCATGTTACT